TACGTTTAATGGTATCACTCATTATTCTGCTATTTCTTTCCTAACACAAGGAGAGGCTCTCCTTCACATTAAAATAATTCAACATAGTTGACTTTGTATTGAAGTTGTTCTTGAACTCGTGTTGCTTTAATGAGAATAAATACCCAACTTTTCAAATTCTGTGCCTGTCAGCTCAAAATAGAATTGCTTATTGGCAGGAATGTTACCTCATTTGTATTTGATGCCACTCTTTGTTAAATGTTTCTTGTGTTCTGCCTTCTCTGAAATTATTTACTTCATCTTTACATTTACTCACTAATAATTGTTTCAAATAAAGATTTTCAATCTATATACCTGAAATATTACACATACATATTCCTTAGAAATGTGAAAATGTGTCTCTATCCAAAAGGTGTAAACATACCTAAAATAAGAAAGAGCATTAACTCTTTGCAAGAGTCAATGGACATGAAAATTATCTTGATTTTTAGCACTACAGGTATAACAACAGTTTATATTACTTATTGCTATCCAACAGCTTAAAATAGTTCATTAGATTCACAACTGATGACATATCTCAGACACAGGATACCAGGAGAGCACTTAAGGTTTTATTTTCACTTTGGGATACTATCCCTAGTATTGTAATATTAAAAAGTTCTGCTATATATTTACATGCACTTGTCCTTGTATAATGACATGCACTTATTATTTCCTTTTCCCACACTTTTCCAGTAGTGCAAACCTGAACTTAAACTTCCTTCTTTTTCATTACTTACCCTTTCTCTCAAAATATACTACGAATTTTAATGTTTAAATAAGTCTGCTCTGGGTTCCATTCACTTATGCCAATAAATATCATTGTCTCTATATTCTCTTCATAATCACCATAATATCTCTCCATTTGTTTTGCTCATATCTAATCTATTTTTTTTATATTTTAACTTCTTGTTGTTGTTGTTATGTGCAGTCGAGTCGATTGCAACTCATAGAGACACTATGTACTACATCCCTAATCTCTGCTCTGTCTTGTGCCAATTGCACAGTCTCAGACACACCCACCCAGATTACCCCAGTCACTGAATCAATCCACCTCATAGAGGGCCTTCCTCTACTGTGCTGTCCCTCCACTCTCCCAAGCATGATGTCCCTTTCCAAGAATCATTCCCTCCTTGCAACATGTTCAAAGTATGTCAGACAAATTCTCAGAATCCTTGCCTCCAAGCAGCCTGGTTTAACCCTCTCTAGGTTGGGTCTGTATTTTTTTTTTTTAGCAGTTCGTGGTACACTCAATAATCTTCTCCAGCACCATAGCTCAAAGGCATCGATTCTACTTCTACCTTCCCTATTCATGTTCCAACTCTCTGATGGATAGCAAATGATGGCAAAGACCATGACCTGCATCAGACACACTTTAGTCTCCAGAGAGACACCATTGTTCATCAGTACTTTGGAGAGATCCCTAACAGCAGACTTTCCCATCACAATACGTCTATTAATTTCCTGTCTGCTAGTGCCAAGAGTGTTGACTGTGGAATTAAGCAAACTTAAGCTCTGAACAATTTCAGTCTTCTCACCATCCACCCTGA